AACCAAGCGCCCCCTTAATTCTTTCTCCATTTAGTCTACCAGATCACCGAAGAGCTCTCCTTTTCATCCAAGAAAAGTGCTACCTCCATTTGCTCCCAGCAAAGAGAGTGTTGCCTGGGTAGTTCTCATGAATAATCCAGCTACATCCAAAATAACAATAAGCTCGTCTTAGAAAATACAAGCAGCCAATGCAGAACTAATCTTCTCTATCAGTCTACTCACCAGATAGTTCTCATTTTCAACAAAGATATCAGTCAGTTCTTTCAGAGACAAATTTCTTGTGCCTACAGTAAAAGATATAATATCATGAGCATAAGAACTCTAGGGTACCTATTAGGTGACATAAAAGCCAGGAGCAGAAGATGCAACAAAACAAACTGAATCTTCTACACAAGCTAATATTACCATCTGTTCTTGCAGTGATCAAATTCATGTGCAAATATGACGATTCCAACATGGTAAACTACACTTTTCTTTCCGGTATAGTTTGCAAAGCCTGAGATGTTAAAGACGAGGGAGTTCCCATTAATAGGATAAGATTAAGACTCGTTCTGTTCTTGATGTTTCTCTACCAATCCACACTATCACTGTCAGCAAATCTGTAATTGCAGAGGAGCAAATTGTTTGTACTATAGGTTACCAACTCAGAAAGACATAACAACGTAATCATAGCAAAGAGATCTACATGTTCAAGTGCCTTTAACTAGTGCTGTCTTTGCTATTTACCAACTAGCAAAGACATAACAACTCGGTGAATCATGACCAGCATATAACCAAATCTATCCTTTTCCCATTGCACACTGGATATTCATAGTCATTTCAAGAACTATGCCACTCTTAAAAATACGCTACTTATTTACAACCTTACTTAATGGGTAATACGTTAAGTATACAAAGGTAATGGTGCCTAGCATCGAACTACTAAATGTGGCTGATTTTTTGTCCAACTCATGGCGGAGACAAAAGGAGGCTCATCTAGACATCACTAAAGTTTCATCTCAATGCCATAACAAACAAACAGAAGGTTCACCATAGCTAAACAAAAGTACATGCTCAATGATATACATCTGGAAGTCTAATTTTTCAATTCGAAAGGAATCTAGTCATAGGCCAGAAGTCTTAGAGAGGAGATAAATAGCATAAATCAACCCAAAAAAAATTCCAATCGGCATTTAGACTCCACCAATCAGTTAAAGAAATTAAACGACACATTTTGGATCTACACACAAAAGATACTTCAGAAGCTATATCTTTCCCTCAAAACAACTAAAAGAACAATCAAATTTATATTTCTTACCAAATTGCTGGAAGATTCTACAAAAAGAAAAGCTTAATCAAATAAAGAAATGCCAAATACATCATGATAAGCTACTACCTACGGAAATCTAATTTCATGCATTGTGGTAAACTCTTCCTCATTCACATTAAATGCATGCAACAGTCAATAGAGGGGCACTAAGATTAAACTGGTAAAACTCACCACGATCAATATCAACTCCAAGGATACTGCAACAAGAAAACTGCTTTGCTGCCAATCTGGATAAACAAACACATTGGAGCTACCAGTATTACACCATCCCAATTTTAATATCCTACATCGGTAGAATGAAGGAGAAAAGAATGCTTTAAGAACTTGGGTTCTTGGACTACATAGTAATTTGAGTTAACCATTTTGGCCTAGTGGATTTCGATCTAAAAATTGTTTGGGACAGTTGTTTCTGCATGGGGTGAGTCTAGGTCAACGGGTTATAGTTCTGACTATGCAAGGGAATGTAAAGATCTAAGTGTGCCCTAGAACCCATACGAGTCATCTTTAGAATTCGAGTATGACCAAGTGGACCAAGTGGGAAGAATATGTATCCCACAAAAGAATGGTTTAACGACTTGGGTGCTTAGACTACATACTAATTTAGATTAACCATTTTGGACCAGTGGATTTCGGTCCAAAAATTGCTTGGGCTAACCCTTGAACCGGGCTGTGACACCAATACTCTGGCTTTTTCTTGCTTAAGAGGAGAACCACTGCTCCTCCTATTGATTTCTCCCAGTAATATTCTCATCTTCTTCCTGTTTTCTTTCTTGTCTCTCGGATAAAGTAGGAGATTCAGCCATAGGATCCTCCTCTGATAAATAAGAAATAGAGGATTTGTTTCATTTTTACCGCAGAGATCGGTGAAGTGATCCAAGCAGTAATTAACAAAACCAATGACTTTCCATGGCCTACGTAGTCAATCCTATGAATTGCAAATTCTGCTTTTACAAGATGATTCCTGTATCTTTTGTAGCCACGAGAAAATCATGACGTTAACATTTCTGTTCTGCTAAAACCTATATTTTCACTGAAAACCTCAATCAATGCACATTTAAGAGAAAATGAGAAATTCGGTGGCTTTCGCAAGCTAGCAAGAAAAGTAAAATCAAAGGGAAAAAGGAGAATCAACTGCAAAAGTTGAGAGAAACAAAATCAGGGTGGCCTTGAATCAAGTAATGAGATTCCAGAATGAACTACGAATCTACACTTGTGCGGTTCTTCAATCGTCTTTAGGTTTTGAAGTTTTAAGAGATTCCGAAGGGAAAAAATGGTTCAAATATATTAGCAATTGAACGAGAGAACGAGAAAAAAGAGAAGAATTCAGAATACAAAGAAAAAGAGACTTAAAAGAGGCTGAGAGGACTGGTGTGAGATTGGAAATTTGATCACCAACAGGAAGAGCAAGAAAGCAGAGGGAGAGCGGTGACGGTATCATCTGCCCTAGTCTTTTGGAAGAGAAGAGTAGAAACCCCAGAGACTAGTAGGATGAGAATAAATTGTGTTGACTGGCTGAGTTTGGATGCTAATTTTAACATGTACTAGATATCATAGTGGATATTTACACATGTACTAGAAATCATGTTCACAACATGCCTCCTTGTGCTGTCTCCTGTAGGAATCAGCTTCAGCCAGCATTGCTTCTTTTCTCAGGATGTTTAGTAAAGTAGAAACCTGAAGCTTTTCTTGAGTATTTTCTTAGAAGCAAACCTTCATTCATTGTGAGGTTCTAATTCTAATTGGAAGTTTTGTCAACATGGAACTGTAATGTCGTGGAACACATGAAAGGTGAACTAACAGACTATATGCTTGGAAGTAAATTATTTTGACCTTTTTCCCGCTGACTTGGAGATTATACTAACTTCCCCTTCAGCTTTCTGAAATTTGTCTGCCTTCTCTATTCTTCTACCATGTTTTACTAACAATGACATTGCTTCTTTGTCCTATTAATGAGGATAGATGTGGAATTCAATGAAGTTTTTGCTAACAGTAGAGAATGTACCAGTAGTTACTAAATCAGAAAGGGGGTCCTTGTGACTTTGCTAAATCTAAAGGAAGCTGCATTTCATCTTATCCTGAACATATTAAGGAGCTTTTGATTTGCTTTTCTTTTTCCTCTTTGGGGAAGAATGTTCAGAAAATGTTGTGTCGTTTGCTTATTTAGTCATAATGTTTCAATGAATTAGGCACTCTGCGCATAGTTGAAGGCTGAGTAAGGGAGTTAAAACTTCATATCCTGTATCCTGATGCATCCGTTCATAATAATTGAATCAACAGATTCATTTCCATGAGCTCTTAAGCTCATAAGCTCTCTTCTTATACATGGTTGACTCTTTACATCAAAATTCTTCTATAAATTGCTTACATTTTGTACTTGGTGTTTTGTGGAGGTAGATTATTAGCTTAAAGAAACAAAAGAAACTAGAACATTTGCATTCTAATATGCAGAAGATGTTGTTTCATTGAGTTGATGGAGAAAGATAGAGTTCTTGAAACCGTTCATGCAATCATGCTCTATGGAGACTTAATTTTGGAGAATATATATGGAGCTCAATTGTAATTTTCCATGTATCAGTTGAGAAATTTGTTGGCATCATATTGGTGATTCTTGTTTCTTAGGTGACATTCTCGAGTGTAAAGCCTTTGCACTCTAGTTGTCAAATGTAGTGGATGTGATGTTATTGCGATGAATCCCTTTTTGATAAAATCCATCCTTAAATGTTTGCAGGGTTCACACACCCTCATCAATGAACTACTACATTCTTGATATTTTCAATCTACACATGAGATGGCATGTTAGTTCTGTTTTTGTGATGGGAATTGAACTTTCTGAGAGTGTCTGACTATGAAAAGTTAATGAGACTATTCACTTCTCATAATTTGACAAATTATTAAGTCATTCACCCCCTGAATTTGATGGGTTGTCATATCAGGCTTTTTCTTTTCTTGTAAGCAGTCTTGTTGGATAACAAAGTTAGAGATCTTGGTAAGTCCACATTATAGCTAAGTTTTCCTTCTGTAGAACAATTGTCTACTAGCTAGTAGATCAAGTTACATTTACTGCAAATCATACGGCATTCATATTCTTTAGATCTAAGATTGGATATAACAGAAATTCTTGGTTACTTCAATAATCTGAAGTGTCAAATTCCTTAGATTAAACACAACATAAATACATGAACAATAAAGAATAAGGCACCATCAACGGACATTAGTCTGTTTCTTCTTCATGATTTGTTGAAAAGTCTATCAGGTATGCCATGGATTGTTCACCTCCACTGTCAATGCTAGCATGCATTAAACATAAAATGTGTTGTTGGGGCACATTGAGGAAAGACTGGTTTTAAGGAAAACTCCAAGGATCAAAGAAATAGAAAGGCTACAGGTCTAGTTTAAGCTAAAAATTTGCCCAGTAACACCAACACTACTGGAAAAAGACTGATATACTGCTTCTTGTTATAAATAGCATGCATAATTATTTTAGAAAGATCAGATATTCGATCCCACTTATATAAATTATTGGAGGAAAATTTTCAAGTTAGACACAAAGGTTGGTCCTGCTACTACATATGAAGCATCTATCATGGTGCTACCTTTCAGTTTTTATTGGTGCCAAACTTGAGGGTTCAGCTTACCTGTTAACTGCCAAATGGTACTAGGTGGCGTATTAGGAGTCTGAAATACAAATCTACTATACAAAGCTTTCAGTGAATGTAGGAGTATAGTCATCCATCTGCTCTATTTCTAAAGCAACAGAGCTACACAGTGGTTCTGTTGACTCATCAGAGGGACTAGTATGACTGCTTCTTTGCATGGATATGGGTGAATCTGGAGGATAAAACAACTGTTTAGGGGGCAATTTTAGGCTCCTAAGATCACCTTCAAGCATTTCTAAGACCTCTCTCATTGAAGGACGATCATCCCGTGTCATCTGTGTGCACCATAATGCCAGCAAAATCAATTTTCTTATAACTATTTTTTCATCTTCAGTGGCATTATCTCTGATTTCTATGTCCTCTCCTTGGTCAAATCTATCATATATCCATGAAGGGAAGTATATTTGACTTGAATGCTCAGCATGCTCATTTGCATTTCTTCGCCTTCCTGCCATCTCCATTAGTAACATTCCATAGCTGTAAACGTTTGCCTTATGCGAGACTCTTCCAACCCTTTTGTAGAACAATTCTGGAGCCATGTAACCTAATGTTCCTCTCACAGTAGTAAGAGTTGAAACACTCTTCTGCATCGGGTAAAGTTTTGCAAGTCCAAAGTCTGAAACTTTTGGAACAAAGTTCTCGTCGAGTAAGATGTTGTGCGGTTTAATGTCAAAATGCAGAATTTGCATGTTACAGCCTTGATGCAAGTAATCAATCCCACGAGCAACACCCTTTGCAATCTCACAAGCTTGCTTCCAACTTAATGGAGAACCATCTGGACCATCTGAGAAAATTAACTTATCTAGGGAGCCATTTGACATGTAATCATAGACTAGAGCACACTTTGAGGCGATCACACAAAATCCCACTAGTCGAACCACGTTCACATGGTGAATTCTTTCAATTGTTGCAACTTCATTGATGAATTCTTGTCCATTAGATTTTGATTTGTTTAGCATCTTCACAGCAGCTAAGTGAACACTTCGCAGTCTTCCTTTGTATACTGAACCATAGCCGCCTTCACCTAATTTCTCCTTAAAATTGTTGGTCATTGCCTTTATTTCTTTGTACGAGTACGTAATTGGCACAAGGCCATTGTTCGTTTGTAGGAATTCTTCCATTGTATCATACATTGATAAATGCCCCCGATTCCACCTATAAATCAGAAAAGCTAGTAAAAGTATAACGCCAATGAAATTCTTGCTACAATGGTTAGTTCTGCAATAGATCAAGAAGAAAGACAAATTACTATGTCTATAGTAGTAGTAGTAGTATACATTAACGATTGGAATTTCATTTCAATTTACAGATTTAACTCCTTACCTAATACCGTTCCCGCAACTTCTGCAGACAACAGAGGATTTATATAGATGAGGAAGAAAGTATAAAACAAACTTAGGAGACTGTATGCAAATACTAACATTTGATCCACTCGCCCACAAGCTGTGGAGAATTCCGCAGCTTGGAAATATTAAAGTAGTCGAATAAGTAGTAGGACATCGATACCAAGTGGCCTACATTCTCCAAGAATGAAATTTGACATTAGCTAAACTTTCCCGTAATGACACAGTTGTTGAATTCAGCAAAAAATTGCAAACCACTGGACCACTATCAGGGATTGAAGTGGGAATTGATAAGATAAAACATAATAATTGCAAACAAATCATAAGTTAACAAAATGAAAGTACTCCACGTGCAAAAAGAACACAATATGTTGCATTCAATTGGAGAAATCGCACTGAGAGAAAGTAATGAACTTAAAGAATGACGATTTCTCTGGGGAGTAAACATGGTTCAAAGTCTCGGCCGAGTCGTCACCGGACCGGATTCCTCCTATACGATACCGGGACGAGATGATTTCGAGATACTTGACTCGCCAAGAACTCGGCTGAGTCACCGAGAAATCTCTGATACGAATAATCTCGGCCGAGTCGGTTCGAGTCATCCCGTGTTAACTTGCAAATTTATATTTTACAGATTTTCTTTTGCTATTTTTTTTATTATTTTTGAATATTATTCACAATTTTTAGAATATTAAATGATTTAAAATTTATGCTTTGTCGGGATCGTGACCGATATGCCGAGACCGATGTGCAAAAGTCCAAGCCTTGATCACGACCGCGACTTTGAACCATGCGAGTAAAATGCAAGTCCAGACCATGAGAAGTTAAAGCCATTTGCCAGCAGATATTTGTGGAGATATAGAAATGAAATATCCCCTTTTTTAGACTGAATGGGCTCCAACTGTATGGGAACTCTTCTGTACAATTTTCTTTAATATCAGATGCCTTCAGATTTTTACCAACCACAACAAAATTGTAAGGGTAACCTTCAAAAGAGAAGTTGTTGTTTCTTGGCAATACAAGAACCAATGTCTATGCACAGAGGAGATTTCGATATCAATGGATCTTTGCAGCTCAAAAAGGTCAATAATTTGGTGGTCTCATAAGGATGTAAAGACTGTGATTCGTAGACATCTGTGCTGCGTTGCTGAAAATAGTCATTGCATCCTAATTGTTCGTAATTTCTATTTTTATTAAAATTTGATGCATCCTAATGATAGTTAACAGTTAATGCATAATAAGTAATTAATATCAATAGAAACTACTTAAATTTGTTAGTATATGCCATTCAATTTCTTGTGATAACTAACAAGACCAACTATTTTTAGTAAGAAAGTTACACTATGTATTTGACTATAAAACAAAATTTTTTCGGATAAATTTTTTATACACTGATAGTGTATATACTAGTGAATCTAGATGCATGTCATATATATAAATTTTGATATTTAAAGTCAAATTTGAATGTTGTCATATTTATCCAACCTGTAAGTATGCATAGAAAGATTAATTCAATTCTTTAATATATTATTATTAAAATTGGTATACAGAGTTAGGAATGAAGAAAGGGAAGAAAAAGATGTAAACATGCATCTGGCTTTTCCCTATGTATTTGCATTTGGCTTTACTTATCAGGGGGCAATTTGTAAATTTTTAGAATACAGGGGGTGGTTTGGTACTGAGATGTGATTACAAGGGGCAATTTATAATTAATCCTTTTATTCAATACATATCTGTCTTTCCCATGCCGCTTCATTGTAGGGCAAAGCTCCTAATTTTCAGTCGGCCGCAAATCGGAACGCTTCCCCGGCGACTCATCCCGGCAAATGTCTTCAGCCGAATCCTCAGCTCAAAAATCTACAGCTAATGGGCCCTTTATCAAACACCTTACAAAAGCTAGAGTGATTTCCGTCTGCTCCCCTGCTGCAACAGCTCAGCCGTCACAATCAAGTCCAGAGGAAACAAATCAACCGCACAAGAATCCGCGCCATGAAACCTCCTCCTCCTCCTCCACCTCTCTATCGTCAGCTCCATCAGCAGCAGCGTTTGTTATAGCCAACAATGAAGATCTGTTGACTCAGATTTTACTTTATTTACCCCCAAAATCACTCCTTCGCTTCCAGTGTGTCTCGAAAGGATGGCTCTCTATCATTTCCAGCCCCTCTTTCCGCAGTTTACATTCGCGAGTTTATCCCACCACCACCAGCAGTTCCGCCGCCACAAAAGGCCTCTTTTTGTTCCGCCGCCGGACGTGGACGGATATCCCCGATCTCAATTTCATCTCTTTCTCCGACGATTATGTTAATTCCATGGGTAACATCGTTTGCCACTTGAGTAATTATGGCAAGTTCACTGATATACATTCATGCAATGGCCTTTTAGCTCTTGCATTTATGTTAGATGACTATGCTAGGGAATTCGTTGTGTGTAACCCGACTACTCGACAGCATAGGCTTGTTCCGCGGCTCGATTTTCAGGAAGGAGGCCGCGAATTTCTGGCTCTGAATATCGTGTTTGATCCTCTAAAATCTGAACATTACAAATTAGTTTGTGCATGGTGCGAACAAGAAATGATCACGAATAATTTTGGACAGTTGGTGCCTAGTGACTTTCATGGTTTTTCTGTGTATGCATCCGAAAAGGGGAGTTGGAGGGACAGTGAGGATATACTAGAGATGGAAGATTTATATTTACCTAATTATTTTAGGAACGGGGTGCTGTGGAATGGTAATTTTCACTGGGTTAGTGATTTTGAGTATAGTTTATGCTTTGATCCAGATAAAGAGTTCTTTAACTTGACAATGCCTCTAGCCCGATGGTATTTTTGGTCCTTTGGGGAGTCTGGTGGGTGTTTGTATGGCATTGAGATAAATGACCCTGAAGCAATGTTGTTTGATATTTTTGAGATGGCAAGGGACTATTCTCAATGGGTTTTGAAGTGTCATGTGGATCTTACTCCTGTGACTACTTTATATCCGTCAATGATTGATGCAGACTGTAATCCCGCAACCGATTTTAGATTTAATTTTCATATACTTTATTTTCTTGAGGATGAGAAAGAGAACAGAATGAGGCTGCTGATATCTCTCTGTGGCAAGATAATATTGTATGACATCAACGATAAGATTGTCAAGGAGCTTGCTGAAGTAGTGCCCAAGGATACTGATGGTGACTGGTGGGATAGTTGTTTTCGTTGGAGGGACACCTACAGACACATGGAGACACTTGCTACTCTTTAATTGTGTTCGTAAAATCTTCTTGCACTCTAGCTAGTGGCTCGATGTGCTTTTTGATTGTTATTACCTGAACATTGTAAGGTATGGAGAATTGCATGTATTGGTAAATGTGATGTCATTTTAGGCAATTGTGAATGAGTGAATGTTGCAGTTTATCTCCTAAAAATTGTTGTCGCTGTTTCTTTCTTATGGTTCTTGATTGGCAATTGATGAATGGTGCTTCAGGCTTTAGTCGACGTTGGTAGTTAGGAATTCATCTTTTCCTTGTCATTAATTGAGGAGTTCTTTTTTGAATGTGTATATAGCTATAATGGTATAGAAGCTAGTAAGTAGAATGTTTCTGTACATTATGACCTTGATCCTTGCTAGTTGCTGTGCACTGCCCCCAACCATTAGTTTTCTATTAACTTATGTAATATCAGTAGCATTGCATCTTTGTAGTTTATCAGTGTCTCGATGCAGTTTTAAGCTCATTGGTCTCTTTGTTTTGACCAATAACACGAGAAACTTCTACCTTGCTGCTTATTGACAGCTAAACTTGTGTTTTGCACCCTAAATACTTCAAATTGAAATTAGTTGAGTTATTGTTGATTATAGCTGTAAAAGAAAATTTTCTTAATGGCAACAATTTTATTAACTGCAATTGATGGATAATGATATAGACACGGATTACTAGATATTGGGGTGGATATTCACTTGTTAAGTAAATCATATTCATGATAACTGATCAGCCACCTTGTGATATCTCCTAAAGGCATTAGATGTAGTGGATGTGATTTAGTTGCTATCTAGCCTGTTTAGAGAAAATGAAGGCTTAGATGTTTGCAGAGCTCACATGCTTCTCATTAATGATCTACTACTTCCTTCAAATTCTCAGTCTGTATACGAGATTGTGTAGAAGTTCTGTTTGTGGTGGTAATTGAATGGTTAGAGAGACAGCCTAACTAATGGTATTATTCACTAGTCATAACTTAATCTAATTGTAAGTTATTCGCTGCCTGAATTGAAGGCATTGAGGTATCAGGTTTTTCTCTGTTCTTTGCCAGAAGTTTTGTTGGATGACAAAGTTGGAGATCACGGTAACTCCACATTATAGCTAAAGTTTTATTCTGCAGAATAGCCGCCAACCAGCTAGTGGATCTCAAGGTTTATTTACTACATGATTATATGGCATGTCAATTCTTTGAATCTAGGAATGTGGAATATAGCAGCATTTTAGCAGTTACCTGTAAGTTCCAAATTTATGTCTCTTGCCTAATTTTATCTCTCCGACCACAAAATCATGTTGGACATTATGTTATACCAATGAATTCTAACTTAGAAATGCAACTCTCCATATGTGAGACCTTGTGCAACTAAAGCTCTCAAGAACTTGAGAGGTGACTGATCTTTGTCTTAGTCGTTAGCAGATATAATGCATCAGAATACATAGTACTGATGGCTGATTACTCAGTTATGCACAGCATGGCAGAGCCCTTTTCCCCCCCCTTCAGATATGTTGTGGTTAAACAAATATTAGAGATAACCTTTTATTGTCATTCTTTATAAACTTTTCCCCCTTTTCTCCTTTTAAGTTTTAAATGTCATGGATTTTGACTTTCATCTTCCGATATGGTGAAACAAAGGATACTCTTAATTTTGTGCAAATTCAGGGTGATTCAAATTGTGAATCACATAATGGAAGGAGATATCAAATTTACAGGGTAAAATTACTGCATTTATTAATGGACCAATTAATAGCATGTGTTTGCCATCTCATGAACTAAATAAGGATGAAACTGACCATCATTTAGGACTCACTAACTTAGCCATTTCACAAATAAAAAAGACTCGCCAACTGCTTGTCTTGCCAAGAAGTTGATATATCTGTGGAAGTAAAAGTAAATTGAATCTCAACATTGTGCACAAAATTCAAACAAATTAAACTCAACCAGGCATAAATGGCACTACCATTCCATTTTTTCATTCTTTGTGTCCAATATAAAGGTAGTATTATACAACACTTTTACAATATCCCGATGAAAAAGAAACTTCAAAAAGTTGAGCCAACATACCAAGATTCTAGTTTGTGCTTTCCACCATCTGCATCCCAAAGTTCTTGAGGGAAAGAAAGCTTGGGACATAGTCCATGACATCGATGCAAGGGTAGCTTTTTTCAGCATAGCCATCTTCATTCATCTGATCATCAACTTTCTTGATGAGTTTATCATTATCAACACCAGATTGATGCAAGATTTGCCTCCAACAATCATAAGAAAGAAAAAACTCATCCCTCCACAAGAGCAAGATATCGCCATCCTTGAAGACTTTAAGAACGCTAACAAGTTCATAAGATGGGTCAATGAGATGCACAGGCTCCTTCTGTATGACAAATTCTTTAGTCCAGAGCTTCTTGATTCCATATTCTTTCATCACCCAAATGACAATTTCATCATCAGAATTGTTGTCGTACAATCTTAGACAGCCTCCAGAAACTCCCAAACTAGCAAGATTGAAATTTTTTCTGAGTTCGGGAGGAGCAGGGAAAGGTGAAAATAACTCTGTTTCAAGATTAAAACAGGATATCAATTCAGAGCTATCTTGATCATCAGTCAGCCAGTGCAGATTACCGTTCAGAAATACACCATATGTGCCATAATTGTACAGAAACGGAGCCTGCTCAATTCTTCGCCACAATTCTGTCTCTTCCCCAAGCGTATAAACATAGCAATTGGACTTTAATATATGTCGTGTATTCTTCTCTAGCTCTACGAAAATCCTAACCACCTTGTATTTTCTAGATTCAGAGCTTAATCCGAACCCATAACTTACCGTACTTGTATACGATCGTCCCCACTCAGGCACCGGAAGAGCAATGGATTCTCGCATGATTGGATTCCACAAGTTAACGGCATCATGTTTATGGTAGGATTCTGTTAAGCAGATTAAGCCATTGATTGAGCCAACCATGGTGACACTCAAACCATTCTCAATACACCCTTCTGGGGGCTTGATTGTTGTTCTCGCAACATATCGAAAACCATGGTGATCAGGCTCATCTTCAAATTCAACTAAACCGAAGCAAGTCAACTCTGAAGGATGGCAACCGAATTTGTTTATGATCAGGCAAGGAGGAGATCTTTGCAGGTGTAACTTAGTGAATTCAGATTCAGAGAGTAGACTCAGCCATGATTTGCAGACAGACTTGCATTGGATGATAGTCTTGGTCGGTAATCTGGACAGGATATCATTGATTAGGTGGGATGGTAGATTCAAGAAGTGTGCTTGATTGCTCATCTTTTGTTGGCTCTGGTTTAGTTTCTGTGTTATCTTATATGACTTTGCTGAGGATTCCTTTTCTTCTGGTCTACCGATGACTTTTGCAATACTTCAGTTATTCTAATGATCAAGTTGCCAAGACAAAGTAAAGAAAAAAGTTTTTTTCCATTGGTTATTTTGTTTTTTGGGTCCTACTGAATTTTGGATCTAAGCTAGCTAGCCACCAAAAGTCAACTTTGTATTCACAATATGTAGTATGATTATTAATTTCATTTGTAAAGAAAATTCAGTCATCTGATGGACCTTGTTGAAGCCGTCAAGTAATCCAATAATTAAACCTTCAGCCACGCGAACACAAACCTTTTTTTTCATCCATTTCAGGTTGCCAAGGCATTATAATTTCAAATAAGAAAATCAATTCTTTCATTTAAGGTTTTGGTTTTTTTTTACGTCCCACACCTATCCACAGTCTTCACATTCGCAACTGCGATTCGAACCTTGAAACTGACAGCGGAGAGAACTTTAATTTCATTTAAGGTTAAAAGTCCTGGTTTTAGAAAATTTAATTATTTTGTTTTGTACCATTGGATTACTATGGTCATGGTTTGAACCCTTTTTTTTTTGAGTAAATCTTTCCTACACTGACGATATATGCACTATCATCGTTGGATTCATGACATGTGTACAAAAGTTGAATCTCAAATTCAAATTTTGCATAGTTGTCAATCATCCAACGCTGATAGTATATGCATAGTTGCATAGTTGTCAGTGACCTCGCATTCCCGGAATGCGAACACCCCATTTGTAGAAAAACCTGCAAAAATCGCCCCAACTGTAGAATGACTTTTTTTTTTTCATCATAAACTAAGAATTCACCCTTTCTTCAGTTGCTTGCCCTGTTGGTTTTGTGGAGCGTTCTAAAGATGCCACATGCCAGTCTTCTTAGTTTCGAGGTGGGTTCCCACTTTCTTGGTTTCGTGGAGGGTTCTTCAGTTTCATGGTGCTGCGTTCTTCGGCTTCCTATAAATCGACAACTGAAACAGGAAGTCGTCATCTTCGTTTGACACTACTACGTGATGACCAAATTTCTTAAGTCGATCATTTTCTTTTTAAGCAGCAGTTTCCTCATTAACCATATAGATAAAGAGGGAAAGGCCCCTGCCACGTAGGATGGTCGTCCGCCCATGTGGCACGTGGGGATTGGTCAGTGGTGATGATGTGGAGCTGATGTTGGACCGGTTTTTCTTCTCCTTTTTTGTCTCCTTTTTTGTTTTTTTTTTTTTGCCCTTTGATCAACCAAACGACATCGTATGTGGATGAATCTCCAACCAATTTTTTCTCCGCTTTCTTTCTTTCTCTTTCATTCAAGAACAGGAGCATTTGTCAATGCCAACAACTCTTAAAGGCCGGTTCCTATTGCTATTATCCTCTGGACAAAATTCCCTCTTCTTTCTTTCTGTCTTTCATTCAAAACATAGCAACATCAATCAATGTCAAGAGCTCTTGAAGACCGGTTTCTGGACAAAACTCCATTTTTTCCATGAGACCCAGAGGTCTCCCCTTAATTTCTGGCATCTGATTGTACTTGGAAGAGATTGCAATCTTAATTGGAGGGTCTAGATTTTTTTCTTCTTCTGAGGAGTGGGTGCTTACGATTTGACGGACGATGGGCTCGAGACAGAAAATGGCTGGTAATCTTCTTCCCCTTCCACTCCCGGTTCTCCCTCTTGTTCTTCTTCATCTTCCTCCCTCCCTCGAGTAGTTAGGGCTAATTTTTTCTTTTTTTCCGAAAATTTTCCTAATATTTCTATTTTCTTGGCTAAAAGCAGCAAATCTTTTTTTCCCATCTCCTTCGTGTCCTTTTGTGAAACAATGAGGAAGGGGAAGGTCAATACTTCATCTCTACTATCTGGTGTGAATTTCTGGAATGCAGATATGGTACTTTTCTTCCCCTTTCTTTCCATGATTAATGTCTCCATTTCATTTCTGTTTTATCATTGATTTTTTATTTTTAATTAGAAGAAAAATTTTTAATATGGTCTGTGATGATGAATAATTGATGATTAGCTAGCTTTTAGATATTTATTTACTTGGTGTTTTGTTGTTCCATTTTTCGTTCTTGCCTTTCTTGGATTTTTTTGGAGCTAGGAGGAAAAATGGCCACCCGTGAAAAACAACTGGTAAGGAAAAATATAAGTTTTATTGTATCATTCTAATTTAATTTTTTCCCTTCCACTCCCAATTTAGGATTTGATGGACGATGTTTTTTTTTTCCTTTTTTTTTGTTTTTTTGGTGTTACTTTTCTGAGTATATTATTAGTTGTTGTTACAGGAAGGAATATGAAGACGTGAAGTTGACATCTCTAAGAAGTAGTTAAAGCTGGTAATATTTATTTGTGTTCTACTATTTATACTATAAACCATAGTCTTTTTCTATAAACAGTTTCTCTCACCTAATTTAGCCTATTTTTGTTTATTGAGGTTTTTGTCAGAGAAAGGATAAAGGTAAAAGTGATTGGAAGAATGAGCAGATTTCTTCCAGTGTTTTGCGTTTTGGGTTTTATTGTCTTTGTCAAAGTAAATTAGATATGAGTATCTTTTTCTTCTCTATCTTCTTTTTTTTCCTGGGCTGGTGAACATGATGAATCTGTTATTTAAACTACCTGGTATTCTTGGTAATGTCAAGATTAGGGAAGTTGTATGATGAAATCTTTATTTCATAGTCGATTTTTTTGGTTTTGTGGTTTTAATGTGCAAAGTGAAATCATTATTATGACTAAATTCCTTGAAGATGTTTTCACCAGTTCATGATTCATGAGATACATAGTTATATGAATTAGGTAAATGAAGTTTCAAAAGCAAAATCCATGTTATCTACTATGAAGATACCGTCTTTGCTCTTTTAAATTATTAAAAAAACTTGGCTTGATCTTTAGCTGGAAAAAATATGTTCAGAAAATAGTGTCCCTGTGTTTCACAGTATTGACCTTTGATGTTGGACCCAATTTGGCATTTTTAGAAAAAGAAAAATTGGAAAATAATGCATAGAAACTTCTCTAGAATTTACTTCCACATATATATTCAGTATTTTGTTCCCTTTGGGGAAATTTCATCAGTGACATTATTGTTATTGTTTTATTTTTGTTGGTAAGACTTGCTTTTATACTCTCTCAGTAGATTTCTTCTCTTGTTTCTGTTATTGCTATTTTTTTTATGAATTCTTCTTTCCTCTAAGCAACTTTAAAGGTTCTTTTCTCTATATAAATATGTTATTATTGGAGTACATCTAATCCTGATCCAATTTCTATAGCAGGAAATGACCATACTTTGGGTTTTGTTACCGGTAGATCTGCTCAATTGCATGGTGCTGCCTAGACAAGTGCTTCACCCTGCTCGTCAGCATCAATGATATTTCCGCCAGCCCTAGGCGTGCCTTCAAATGCTGAGTGGAATGGGTATCAGGTAGTTTGTTTCTGACATCACTTCTCTATTTTACGCTGCATTTGTCTGCTTGATGGCATTTATTGTAAGATTCATGTGTTTAATGTCCATCTGATGTTCAAATTGTGGTGGTATCTGACAGATGGTGTTATCTTTGCTTGCTGAACACCGTATATGAATTTCATCTAATACATTAGATGTCACAGATGCATTTGAAAATCCGTCACTATTTCCAATTTGTGCTTGTCAATATGTAAGGTTTAACATATGGGGTAATAGTGTAGTGAACAAGTGCATTCTTAGTTACAATTGAGATGAAGAAACTAATTCTTATCTTTTTGTGCCGCGGCAGACTATCTTTTTACTCACCTTTACTGTGATGAAAATCTTCAGATGCTGTGTTTTTTTTTCAGGACTTTGAAGTTAATTGAAGTTAACAGTGATTGTTGTTCTCTGTATCTCTTTTGAAAATTGACAGGAGGCTCTCATTCCCATACTGCATTCAAAGTCATCTTTAACTGCTTTGTTGTTCCTTTTTTTTATGGTATATATGCATAAGCGAGAAATAGTGCTTTTAAAGTGGATTTACTCCGGATGTATCATGATCTCCTTTAAAAAATGTTCCCATGGCATGAAAAGAGAAATCTATCATTAAATAAAAGGGGTTTGCCGACGGTTAGCTCTGCATGCGCTTCGGAGGCCAGGTCTTGTCCCCTATTTGTAACTTGTGATTTGTGCTAATAATATTGAAGTATTGTTTTAGAAAAAAAAAAGGGGTTTGCAGAAACATTTCAAACAATTAGAGATTAATGTGGAGAGAGGTAAGAGAAAATTATTGAGCTCAATTTGCAAAGAGGAAATAAATCTCGATTTTTGTTTGAAACACTATGAACCTTAGATTATGTACATGCAACCAACCAAAAATAAATACATAAAACAGAGAGAGAAAACAGTTAATAGATTCATAACTTTCATCATGCATGTGAAATTAGTTGGTAAAGTAAGGGTGTTAATTATTGCATGAAGTATTTCCATTGTAAATATAAGCTGCTAGATGCTTGTTACTGCCTATGAAGCTCTAAAATTTTTATATTTAGTTTTAGCTCTCTGGTACCATTATTCTTGTGTAGCAAATAACAGATGTATCAACATTTTTTTTCCTTGAAAGTTGGTGTTCTTGACTCATTGAAACTTGTATAATGGTCTTCTTTGCATGATTGTTTCCTTTCCATTGATTAAAGCTACGGTCTACGCAACATCGGCTAGGAGTTTACCCACACCTCCAGCATTTGCAATGATCAACCCAGTATCCGAGACCAATTTCTATGCCCCGTACCAACAACAAATGCCAATTGATGAATATCCTCAGGGACTTGGTCAGCCTGACTGCTGTTACTTCCTGAAAACTGGAGACTATAAATACAAACGTAATTGTAGATTTAACCATCCTAAGCTTCAAAGTTCCAAGTCAACGTCATGTGCTCTTAGCAACAAGGCTTTGCCTCTGAGACCTGTAAGTCATAGAACAAGCAAAATAATGATACAACTTACAAATTCTCCCTTAATAATGTGATGTCTAAAATATATTCTTTTATATTAAGCATAAACAAGAGGATTTATTGCTCACTTCCTGTAATAATGTCCGCACTTGATTTTTTTTAAGACTGATGTTCCTCCAACATTATCTGGAGGGTTGTTTTAACTTCCTTGCAAGGATGTCTCTTGAAATGGATTATGTTTAGAATAGATGTGTTTCCATCTGTTTATATGAATATGTTATTATTAAGGTACATCCTATAGTGGTTTTTTTCCTCACAAAAAAAAACATGTTATGTCTTTGTGTTTCTTTTCCTAAAAATTTTTCTAAACTTCTCAATCACTATACGGAATGCAAGTCATGGTTTTCTTTTCTTTTTTATCTCTCTTTTATAAAGATTTAGCTGACTTTTTCAATATTTTTTTTAGTATATTATGTTGGACTTGGAGAGATGGCTGTGTTTTTCATTTTCTTTCTTCAAGTGGTAGAAGATGAAGAAGAGTGAAGACGAAATGATTGTGATTTTAATGGATGTTCCAACATTATTTTATTCACGAAGTGATTATTAACTTAATAATTTTTTTTATAGTTTCCTTTTTTTTCCCTCTTCTAAAACTCGTTTCTTGTTTTAATGGCAGTTATGTGATCGAAGAAGAATGAACAACAACTATTGGTAGGTTTTTCCTTTTAGTTATTTCATGTCTTTGCTTCCATGCAAAATGTTTGTTAAACTCCTAGCTCACAAAGGGCATTCCTTATGGTTCCCTGGGTTTTTAAGAACTAAAGAAGTAAGCATTTTTCATGTTTGTTTCTTTCTTTTGTCTCTTTTATCTTATGCTTAAATTATTTTTTTTTCTAAACATCTGGTCAAGTGGAAAAAATGGAACAAGGCTTTCTTTTATGTGTATGTGCGGTTAAAAAGTAAATGATTATTTTGAGCAAGATAATGAACAAATGATAAATTGTGAGATTGGCATTTAATGGATGGGAAGATGTCTTGCTGGATTTATCTAACGTCAGAGTGTTCCAATCCTTTCTATCAAAAAAAAAAAAAACTATTACCTCTTCTTTCTATGCAAAAACAATTTTTCCCTCTTTGCTGGTGAGTAAAATACAAATTCCTATATCTGCAACAAAAAGGTTGGGCTCAATGTTGAGAAAACTAATTGATTCCCATTTAAAAATTTTTCCGAGCTCAATCCTTTCCTACTCGAGGCTTCTGTCTCAAAAAATCCTTTTGTTCTTATCTTTCTTTCTCTCTCTAAAAACCGCTAGATTCTCCATTCCTGTTTAATGTATATTTTTTTCTCTTGATTAAATTTCAACTGTAATTTTCTACTACCTTTACCCCAATTCCATAGGCATTTCATAGGTAATTTTCTTTTATTTTTTTTGGATTTGGATCAACATTGTTTGATTAAAGCCTGGAATGTTATGCTTGCTTTGCTAAGCATGCTATCTACAGAACTTATTCAATGCTTGGTTTAAAACCTTAGGCTGTTAACAATTGAAGTAGTTAATTTCAAATCATGTGAAGTGTGTGAAGTATTTCCCAATTAACCATGATTAACAAACTAATACTGACTGTGACAATCAGGGAATAGTGTACTTGATGAATCTACTTTGAAACCGGTGTTCTTAATAATATTGAGATTAGCAAAACTTTATAACCAACATTGGACTAATTTTGAGATTTTACAAAAAAAAAGGATAAAATGGACAGCAACTCATAGAAACTTATTTATTATTTGCCTTCGTATATATTTAGAGTTTTGCATTCCATTTCAGGGGTTTTTAATGGTCACATGTACTTGTGTTTCCTTTCTATGGGAATAGAACATATATCAAAAGTTTGATTAAACAAGTTGTTGCAAAAGACTCAACAATCCATGTAAACCCTGTGAATATTGAATAGGAGCAATGTTGAAACATAATTGAAGACCAATTCTTTAGATGAATATTGCCTTTACTGTTTTTCTTTACACTTGTGAATATTGCCTTCACTATTTTTCTTTACACTTGAAAATTTTATAGATTCTTGATGCTGGAGTAACATGAACTTTATTGGAAATAAAAGCTGAATTTCATGACCTTATTTAGAGTTGCATGTATTTTGGCTTTTGCGTTGGAGTATGTCATTAGAATATAAAGACATCCTCTGGAGAAGTTTCTGCTTCATTTTTACGTTTTAGGATCTTCCTAACCTATTTGATTGCATGATCATTTTATTTCCTTTTTCACCTTATCTTCCGTTGGCATTTTGTGTAAATTGCGCAGCTTCATGATCAAGTTGTAGAAAGTTTACTTGCATACCATCTCCAGGGATCTAGCACATCTAATACTTTCACTTTGGTAAGAAACTCAGGTTACCAAGCAAGACACTTTAGCTTACCTGTAAGAATCTTTTCATTTCTGGACTTTGACAACTACTGTACCCAAAACAAAGTACCCAAAAAAAAAAGTTTCTTGCTTGTGAAATGGGTTGATAAATAGAAGGGGTAACAAATTTTGTATGAGACTATTACTAACCAAAAGTGCAGATGTTTGTTGAATTTGTCCTCTCATTATTGGCATCATTTAAGTCTCTTGATTTATTTTGAACTTGGTTTTACAGCAGTAAACTAATTTTAATGGATTGTATCTTACATTCTTTCTTTTTATAATACATGGCAGGTTCTCAGTGGTTTCTTTCAAAAGTTGCTCATTCACTTCTGGGGCGAGTACAAATGACAGAAAGTTGTTATTTTTGGTTAAGTTAAAATATGTATTTATCAGAGTCATGGAAGTTCAAGTTCATGTTTTGAGATTCTGCAATACTAATTTTAGTGTTTTATCTATTTATTATGAATTCCTTGACTGTGAACAAGTGTCAAAGTTTACACTGTTAGACAAATTGTAAATGCAACTTTTTATAGTTTAAAATCTTTTACAATTGCAATAATATGTTTTTCCATAGAAAATTTAACTTTAGAGGGCAATAATTGGGTAAGATTAAAATTTCACACCGTGTATTTTTTTGATCCTTGGTTGCGTTACAGGCATTTTGTAAAGATGGCATAACTGGGCACGTTAATTTTAGAACTGTCCACCGCGCAAGTGCGCGGTGATCCCCTCCTAGTATGGAATGAATGGAAGAAGCAGTTGCTTAAAATGAGATGGCTTTCAACCTTTCAAGTTTCAAGACAGTTAGTACTTTGTAGTTTGTACTGTCTTCTTTGTTTTTGGATTTATTCTGGTTAAAATAGGTAGTTGCCATGGTCAAAGTAAGTTTCCTTAGGGAAATTTCCAATCACCAATAATTCTGATTTCCTACTCAACCCAAGCATGAAAGTGATATCATGTATCCAATGAAAAGTTTTTCAATAACCCGTCAGGATAAATTCATAAAGGTCACATCCATTGACGTTCGTGTATACAACTATACATGCCCAACCCAGGGTAGCTCGAGTGGTTTCGTTGCCCCTCTTTAGGGTATGGCGACCACGGTTCGAGTCCTGGGGTTACCGTGTTCGAGGGTAATGGGCCTCTGCCCTCGGGCCGCAGGGGATTAGTCAGACCGAAGGCCCGGACACCCCTGTGTCGAAAAAAAAAAAAAAAAAAAAAAGTATACAACTATACATCATCTAACATCAGTGTGTGTACAAAATTTCAGACTACAATTAATGGTGGCTTTTGATCACAGACATACCATTACATTTTTCTTCTAATTTTATGTACAAGTTGGTGTGGATTTCACTGTCAATGGTCCCATTCTTATAGAAGTACTGAAATTTATAGTACACTTTCTTTGCTGATTTTGAACCCCTCAAATCAAGTTCGAAAACACCTTTGGGAGTCCTCTTCTCCCGTTCCAAATCTGATATATATATTTTGTTGGTAGACTAACAAATTCGCTCATTAACTGCCCTTCTGATTTTTTTTCCTTTTGATTTTGGAAGTTTTGCTGTCCCTTGGTTTATCATACTTTTTGTTGTCCATTTAAAGTGCTTGCCTATTGCTAAACTCATAAAAATAGGAGATTCCGTGATTGCTATTTTAAATAATTAAAACTAATTAGAAAACTAGTTACTTCTGCACAAAATAAGAAATCTATCTAAAAGAAAGGGCAAATTCCACTTTACCCCTATGTGATTTAGCATTTTTTTACATAACCCCCTATGATTTCAAAAACTATATATAACCCTCTCATGGTTTAGATTAAAGTATCAAAGTGACGGGAATGATCATTCGTAATGGAATCACCTAAAATGTCAAAAACACCCTTATGTAAAGTTGAAAATTATTTATTAACCAAGGGGAGTTATGTGTATATTTTGAAAACCATAAGGGGGGTTAGTATGTCATGTATTTATAAGGGTAATTTCGACATTTTTAGAAGTTCCGTTACGAATGATTATTTCCGTCATTTTAACACTTTAATTCAAATCATGAGGGGGTTATATACAACTTTTGAAACCATAGGGGGGTTATGTAAAAAATGCTAAACCACAGGGGATAAAATGTAATTTGCCCTAAAAGAAATTAAGCCAATTTTTTAACATGATCTGCCCTTTTGACTTTTTTTTTTTCCTTTTGATTTTGGAAGTTTTGCTGTCCCTTGGTTTATCATACTTTTTGTCGTCCAAGTTCAGTTTCTAAAATTTCGTTTACAACACTTGTTTCCGATAAGAATTTGGTGATCGTTGCTCGAGTTCAAAGAAAACCAGCTCTGAACATAGCCAACACCGTTGCGGGTTTACCAGAATCAATTTAAAGTGCCCATTTCGATTAAAAGGTGATCAACACCCTGAATTCTGCAGTGAGCAGTGATTCAACTGTCTTGTGAGTATAATAGGACTGTGTTGCACTTGGATAATCTTCAGAAACCGTACTTTTATGTAGAGCCAGACAGTAATGATAGCAGTTTAGCAGTGATATTGGATCTTCCACAAAATTCATTCAGCTGTCACTGTGCCAAAAATTTGAAATGAGCGATGGAAAATCAGTCTTCCAAGGAACAACCAGCTTCATCTTGTTGATTCTAGCTGAAGATATAATATGCCTACTGAAAAATGATAAGAACTGTCAATCATTCTAAACAAGCACGATACTATTCATGTCATCGGTCAAAAACAGGTAAATAATGAGGTTAAAACTACATCTAAATTAGTAGTAAGTAATAAGCATATAATTTAATTCGTCTACTAACACATGGGATTCTAATAATTGACATGGTGAGCTTGGTTCCATTGATACCTGTCACTTGTGATATAATTGTGTTTGGATAGCCAAATAATGGCCAAAAATTATTTGCTTATATCACAAATACAATTTCCAACACATCTTTTTATCTTCCCAATTACCTTTTTATCTCACAGACATCACATAACAAAAAGTGCTACAGTAATTATTCCAAATAATATTTCAAATAATCTCCTATCCAAACACATATATCATGATGTGATAAAAGATTACCTTACCAGGTCCCCATACCACAAGCCTGGATCGATTTTCTTCCTTATCCACCAAAAAGGAAAAAAAAAGAAGAAGAAGAAGAAGAAAGGACAGAAAATTTAACTCAGCCATTATTAGTATCGAGCACCCTATCACTTAGGACCTCCAACCACATCTTAGCGGTATAGATATGATACTTCAGATCCCATTGATGATTCTCCCGATTTTCCACTTGAATAAACTCAAAAATAAAAAATAAAAAATCAAATCTTTCTTCAAGATTGTTCGATTCAATAAGATATAAACGCCCTCCAGGCTCTCCGAAATACCTAATTTCTCCCTTCTTGTTCTTGCTACAGAGAGGTGGCATAGTCGAGTTAAGACACCAGTTGTACACATCAAAACATCAAAAAGTTTTGGCATCACTACCCAATAAAGATTACCATTCCAGTACACTCCCTCGTCAAAATAAGAAGCTTATTGTACACCTGTTTGTGTTACTTGTGTAGCCTTAATCTGCCTCCAAATTCTATTTTCAGATGAATAGATTGAGAATCGATGTCGTTTACACTCTTCAGACCATAAGCACACAAGTTTCTAAAAGCCAAATCTTAGAGCATCATGTACAATATTTAGACTGAGAATTTGGTACCGTTGTCCACACTATTCTGAAGATTTTTGGGTTTTGGAGTCCACCTTTGGAGACTTTTGGGCTTTGGATTCTGCATTTGCACACCAAATTCTCGATGGCCATCATTTAAGTCGAGCACCAGCACCATAGCTGATGATGCATTGCAAAAATGTATACCCAAAACTTCACCATCAAACAACTTGACAAAGTTGTAATTGACTAATTGCCATCAGCTAATTTACGAAGGCCATAATTGAAGTTTGGCATCTCAGAACATCCATAGATTGAGGGAGACGAGGACATGGTCTCATAAGGAGAAAGTGGAGGTTTTGCCTGCCAGAATGAATGGACCAAAGTGACAACCATTCCTTGGGGTGGCATAAGAATTTTTGTCGCCCGGATGAATTGTGATCCGTTGAAGGCCTGAAGCCTAGAACACATTGGAGGAGCCATCATCTTTGATCGTCACATTTTTGTAGTTGGTTTAAAGAATAGACAGGGATTTTTATGCCAAGGGAGGTCGTAAGTTTAAGGCAGCAAAGAAAAATTGCAAATCTAATTGCCATTGTGAAAGCTGTTGTCCATGATGTCAGATGTAGAGTTACACCTTGGAAGGGTATAGAGAAAACTACATTAGTGGTATTCTATGTTATACTCTCCGTATAGTACTACATAAGTTCAGAATTAGCGAAGGCTGGAACGTGAGTGTGTTTGGATAGAGTATTATATGAACAGTCAATACCAAAGAATCTACATAGAAACTGAAATGTAACCCCACCATGGTTAATCATTCCTTCCACTAGATGCCATTTACTCCATATCTCATCCAAAACCCTTTATTTTCCTAGATAACAAAAAAAAAAGGGCAAGCCAAATCCTTACTCAAAAAAAAGAGAGAGAGACATTATCCACATAAATCGACACTGTTGCTGTCACCAGAACCAAAAATTCAGGAGGAAATTTCTGTTTGGAATGACAATATTGGTCTAATTATACTTTATTCACCGCAGCCTCCACCACATCCACCACCACAAGCACAACCGCAGTCACCGCCACTGCCTCCACCGCCACAGCAGCAACCCTGGGCAGTTCCACCGCCGTTCGTTTTATTATCATTGCTTTCTGTGGCTGCTATTTCAGCTGAAGCAAGTACAACATCAGCAGCTACAGTCAAGATCACCAAATCTCCATCCCTCTCGCCGCTACTAACAGCATTTTGATCAGCAATAGCTGGCCGCGGAGGTGAACTCCGGTCTTTGCTTGCCTGCCCTGTTGGTTTTGTGGAGGTTTCTTCAGTTGCCTGCCCTGTTGGTTTTGTGGAGGGTTCTAAAGTTTCCTGTCTTCTTGGTTTTGTGGAGGGCTCTTCAGATTCCTGGTGCCTTCTCCGGCTTCCTATAAATCGACAATCGAAACAACAAGTTGTCATCCTACTAATATGACCATGTACTAACCAAGGTACTACTCAAAAACTACCACTGCATGATTGGAATGCTATCATCATTTCCCTAGCAGCAGTTTCTTGAAACGGAATCAATGGTACATTTGATTAATCTGGTGTTATTGGGTAAGTATTTATATATCATTAGATTCTATGTCCAGTGAAACTTCCGGACAATTTCTTCTGTATAGACCAAACCAGTCCTTTTCAGGTAATTGCTTTGGTTTGAATGATTTGTCAATGTAAAAACCAGAAAATTAGACAGCGTTGCCAGCCAAACTTCTCTCTAATTTCTTAATTGCTTGACCACTTAATCAGAAAAAGAACAAGCACAAATTTCAGACTCGAGGCATTTTAATTTGTCTTGAAGGCTTTTATATGTGACGGATTGACCAAATGTAAAGCCTTGGTTGCAATTGTGAAACATGTCACGACTCAAGATTTTGAAGAAAGTTTGGAACTTTGTACTGTCTTTTTGTTGTTGGGTTTATTCATGGTTAATATATGTAGTTGACATTGTCAAATTAAGCTTCCTTAAATGTAACGGGGGCGACAGATGGGAGGTTTACGGTCACCAATGATGCCAATTTCCCACTCAACCAAAG